GGATCTCTGTGAGTCTGAGGCCAGCCTGGTCTACAGAGTGAGTTTCAGGACAAACAGGGCTGTTACACAGAAAATCCAGTCTCAAAAACCAAAACAGAAAAAAGGTAGGAACAAAGAGAGAGAGAAGGAGAGAGAGAACGAATTTTAGTGCTTAGAAACATTAGATGCCATTATATTGTTCAAATTATATAGAACAATTTGGAATTTAGCTGCATTCATATTAAAATCTAGAATAGACATTACACCAGAGTCCTCTTGGTCTCCTTGTTGTTTATTTGGTTGCTCAATTTCTTTTTTTCTTTTTTTTTTTTTTGAGACAGGTCTCACTCTGTAGCTTTGAACACTATGTAGACCAGCATGGCCTTGAACTCATAGAACTGCACCTGCCTCTGCCCCCTAAGCACTGGCATTAAAGGTTTATGCCCAACACTGGTTTCTTTTCTCCCTCTCTTTCTTTTTTCCTTTCTTTTTTCCTTCCTTCCTTCCTTCCTTCCTTTCTTTTTATTTTTTCTTTCTTTCTTTTTCTTTCTTTCTCTGTTCTTTTTTTGAGGCAGGGTTTCATGTAGTCCAGGCTGGCCTCAACCTCACATATAAACAAGGATGACCTTCATTTTCTGTTCCTTCTGTCTCTACCTCCCAAGAGCTGAGAATACAGGCAGGTGCTATCATGCCTGCCTAATTCTGTTTTCTGTTATTATAATGAAATATGGTTGCAGTGTATTTACAAAGAAAATGAGCTTATTTAGCTTATAGCTTTGGAGATTGGATGAGTAAGATTGGGCAGCCCCTTGGTCTGTCTTTTGGTGAGGATCAAAGTGCAGATGGCATCTCATCAGGGGTAAGGACTCAGGGAAAGATCACAGCTTGAGATGGGAGGCAGACAAGGGAGCAGTCTTAGGTTTCACTTATTTTAATAGCTCTCTCACAGGACTCAGTCCCGAGAGAACTGCCTTAATCTTGTGAGAGAGAGTGTGTGTGTGTGTGTGTGTGTGTGTGTGTGTGTGTGTGTGTGTGTGTGTGTAGTGATGACCTATGAACGTTGTTGTCAGCCCCCCTCCTCCAAAAGTCCCATCACCACACTATGGTCCAGGTCGCCAACACATGGACCTGTGGAGAACAAGTCCCCAGTAAACTGGAACATCCTGCTTCCCCCCACCCTCTGTATCTTTATCCTCCCATCTCTGATGCAGGTGTCTCTGGATATGATCCAGGTATCAGGCCACTAAATCTTTCAATGTTATTCTATTTCCTGCTACCCTGGGAGGATTTGTGTTACCCCAAGTCCTTCACCCTGGGGGACTTGACAAATGGATTCCAGAGCAAAGGTTTGTTAACTGTGAGCCTTTCTGGGAAGGAGCTGTGGATAGAGTTTGTCTGGTATCTATTGAGATGCTTTGGAGTTCTAACCTTAGTTGAGTATTTAATGTTGAGAGTTATAAAGAACTTACATATATCATCTCACCCTGAGTTTGTGACATGTACCTATTTCATTTTATCAATTTCTTGTTGATAGATGAATTCACTAAGACACAGAACTTAGCTTAGCTAGCCTGAAGTGAGGTGGGTATTCTGCACCCCAGTGGTCTGACTGCAGTGTTGCTGGGTTTAATGACTATTCATTCTTGCCTCCCATGGAGAGGAGGGCTTGCAGGTAAATGAGGGCTTGCAGAGAGGTCCAGTTTTAGTCTACTGAACAGTCTTCTTTAATTATTTAGTCAAACTAAATTAAAAATCCTAATAGACAAAGTTAGTGGAAATGAAGTGGGTAGAGACTTAAAATATTAAGATTTCATGTTGATTTTGAGTCCAGTTCAGAAAGAAATGTAACATAAAATGTAAACTTCCCATGGAGAATCAACTCCCCCATAAATCCAATAGCTTAAATTGCAACAAACATTTCCTTCTTTAGAAAACCAACCTCCCCCAAAAAAGAAAGAAAAACAACCCCCTTTTGGTGGTTTTTTTTTTTTTTTTTTTTTTTAAGAAAAAGAAAAAGAAAAAGAAAAAGAAACAAAATGGAACCCAGCCAGCTGAGCTTCACACAGGGCTACTCAGCTGCTCCAGGGGAATGGACCTAGCACTGGAAGGCTACGATTTTCTAGGACTTAGCTGTTGAAACTACAAAAGGAGTCACCG